ATTTTATCAATATTTATTCACATCTCATCTGTCTACATTTTTAATATTACATTATTACATCTTCTCGCTAAAGCCTACCTATCTGAAAATAGTCTTTTCCAATTCGAATGCCAATTGCACAAGGATAACTAGGGATATGTGTAGAAGTTTTATAGATGGTATCTGTTTTGGAACATATTAAAGAAGATGAAGGAGATTTCATTCAAGTTAAGTACACAACATTGGTAATCCAAAAATCTTTTTATTCTCGAACATACGATATTTTTTAATCCAATTTTTCATAATTGTTTTCTTTTTGCTCGCTTTTGCTTTTGTACTGAAAGCTATACTATTTTATTGCTAATCTAGAAACATAACTTTATCGAATGACGTGTTATATTAATGAAATATGTTTTGGCATGTCATTTTTACTATGATAAGAATAGTCCTATACAGTGTTTCTTTTCATTGTTTTCTTCCCTTTGTTATTTTTCATAGATTTTTCTGGTTATTACTTATATTATTCAGTTGCAGATAAGAAGTGATGATAAGAAGTCGTATAAAAAAAGAAAGTGCTTAGTGGAGTCAGTAACAACTACAAAGCTGGGTATTTTAAAGTATTTAAATTAAATTTTAGAACAACACTCCAGAAAGGTAGGCTTTAGTGAGAAGATGTAATAATGTAATATTAAAAATGTAGACAGATGAGATGTGAATAAATATTGATAAAATCGAGCTTGAATTACTCTATATCTACAATGTATCATCCATTAACAATGGCGCCGATTTGCAGCTACGTTTGATCTCTACCCCTCTCAGTTCGCTGTTGTACGTCTCAGACAAGCCTTTCTCCCTCGCAAATATTTGCCTGCATTCAAATCTTTTGCGAATTCACCATAACTAATCAGTTATTCTTAATAAACAGAACTGTATTCTTTTCAGTGGATAACGACAACTATTGCTAGTTACTGTTGCGAAATATTAACTGGTACTTGAATATTATTGAATATTATCTTTACGCCGTTATCAATTGAGTGGCAAACGCATGAATATCAATCTTTAATTGGAGAGAATGCGAGAGTCTCTCGGCGCCATTGTTAATGGATGATACGTTGTAGATATAGAGTAATTCAAGCTCGATTTTATCAATATTTACTTCAGTTCAGTACCTCACCTGTCTGTATCATCGGCGCATAGCTCTGATAAAACTGTAATCATACATCGGACATATTTTCTGTGAAGCGAATAATGGAACTATGAGCCCAATCAAAGTTACAGTCAAAATGGACAAGGGATATTGCACAAATATGCGATCGATTAACACTCTATACTATTTTGCATGTGAGCGTTTATTAGACTTATTTTAAATCGTTCATCTCTGTGCTTAGATAATGCTTTCTATTCGATTTGGAGGCGTCAAGCTTCTTTTGACAATTGATATTAGGAACAGAAGAACGACCAAGTTGCGACTTGGTGGCTACTGTTATGAAAAATAGTTTTATTTCCAAAGAAGCTAAAACCCATCCGATAAATATTACAAAAGTTTACAGCAAACGCACTCTATAGTCCGAATTAGCAAGAACAAGATGCAAACACCAAGGGTATTGACTCTTGTCTTCAAGGTTTACTTTGATTTCTCTCGTCTTCTCGCGTGTCCGCTCGTTCTGTAGTACCAACGTTCGTGCATCACAATCGATTGTCAACTGAAGTATATCGTTTTCCACTGGTGTTCCGGGCCACTGAATGCGCTTTCCCATTCCATTGAGCCAGATGTCTCCGTTTGTTGACCAACCATAAGCCGAACGTAACCGATGATATCTAACATCGCCGTATGCCGATTTGTCTGCCATTGAGCAGATTCCAATAAAGACCCATGGACACCATTCAACATTATTCGATTTAGATGAGCTGAAGATAATAATCATTCTGGTTGAGTAATAAGTTAAAAACATCACTTACTCTGCTTTCTCGAATTTCATTCGAATTGAATGTATACCACTAGAATAGGCTTGACTACCACGAGCATAACCATAAGTTTCATAGTCACCTTTCTCGCACACCCGACCTTTTTCGTGAAATCGAATTGAACGACTTCGTTCTTTGAATGTTAGTGATGCGTCTTCTATTGTCATTCGTGTCTCTAAATCGTGTTGCGACGATCAGAATGCACGACACACGCACTACTCGCTGAAAAATGCGCTGGCTTGCTTACTTTTCTTTCGTTCGATCAGCAGCTATGGTTACATGCGATCTCTAACAGAATCAGACACGAACAACAATTACAGCATCGTCTACTCTTCCATTGTCGTTTCATTAATCCCATTGATGATTGTTTTTCAATAGTTTCGAAAAGAGAACATGAAGAAACTTATGTCATTGAGCAGTCGAAAAGAATATGTGGAGAAACAATTGCTTTTAGGAAATTGTAACAAACTCAAATGCATCACTTACTCGGCGATGTGAGTGAAAAAGAAAGAAAAATGTTATTAGAAGAGTATTTTTTCTACATGCAAACACTCCATTCGAAAATCAATCACAAAAAGAAGTAAATAACTGTGGAAAAAATCTTAAAGGGCCCCGCCGGATAAGGGTCGAAATCTGCCCCCTTTTGTTCCAAGCTAGTATCATGTTATATTTGTAAAGGGGTCCATGTCTCATCAGAATATGATATTTGTTTGGTCCTAGGTTTAGACTAAAAACAAAAAAAGATGGTTTTCCTATTGCATCTCAGTGGTAGGGTTTAGTTCCGTAAAATGCTTTTATCTTTTGAATAAAGCAATATTAACCATATTAACTTGTCCTTCGTCCCATTCATTCGATTTCTTCAAAAACTTTTCCCGGAACAGATTATTTTTCGTTTCGTTGCATTCAATGACAATCCTCGATTAAATGCGGGCTACTGAAACTA